TAATATAACAACTTTTATAAGATTAATATTAATATCTAACAAATAGGAATGTACCAAATATTAAAGTTGACAAAATGAGAATGTAACTACTATTAATAGGATAAATTTAACTATTATTAATGAAAATGTAACTACTATTAATAGAATGAATTTAACTTATATTAATGAAAATGTAACTAATAGGATCAATGTATGAATGTATAATAATTAATGAGAGTGTAAGCGTGTAACTAATAGGATAAATTTAACTAATACTAATGAAAATGCAACTTATAGGATAAATGTATTAATGTATATTAGTTAATGAAAATGTAACCACTACAATAAATGTATAAACTATAAATTCTACTTTAAGTAAATAGCATGTAATATAATGTTAATAGTATATAATATATAAGTATACTACTATAAGATGAGTAATAAATTTATATTTAATACTTTAATATATATATATTAATATATAAGTATATATAATATATGTAAATATAAGTAGATAATAAGTATACAAGTGGATATAATATATGTAAATATAAGTAGATAATAAGTATATAAGTAGATATAATAATTGTATAACTAATTTAAATAGATATATTATATATATTAATAGATGTAGAGAGAATTGGAGAAGATGAAGATGATTATTAGAAAGTATTACACGGTAGGAAGAATTGGAGAATAGGTGTAGGAAAATATTTAGAAAATAGGTTTATTATAGTTTTTACCCCCCCCCCCCCCCAACCCGCCCAGACCCACCCCGAACGGCTCTATAGCCATTGGCAAGGGCTAGGAGCCAGCCCAATAATTTGAAGCCCAAAACTTTTTTTTATTATTTTTTAAATAATGACTGTTAGGCCCAAACCAGGCCCACCCCGGTCCCAATCAACCAGGACAAGCCTGGTTTGCATAATAGCGGGTCGGGTCAGGTAGCAGGCTGGATGTCTCAGTCCACCCGTAGAAGCATATATTATGCCTAAAATTTTGTTATTTCTCTTTGCTTATGTTGTGAAATTAGCATGTCATTTCTTCAATTATATCTTTAGAATATACGGAGTAGTGTTTGTCCTATCCAATCCAATAATGTTATTATTTAATTTATTTAATATTTTTATGATGTACGTAGGGGTGGACTCGGTTCGGCCCACCCGGCCCGGTCCGCTACTGTGCGGGCCCGGAACCGGCCCGGTCGAGAGGTCCGGGACCGGGCGTAGACCCGAACCGGTGGGCTAAGCGGTTGCGGGCTCGGTTCCTATAAAACTTGACCCGGTCCGGCCGGGTCGGGCCCGGTTCCAGGTCACAACGGCTATATTTTAAAAAAAATATTGGGCCAAATGACCGTTGGGGGTGGGCTGGGGACAACCCAAACGGCTATATAGCCGTTGGGTGGGCTGCAGGGGGTCCGGGCGGTTTGGGGGTGGGAGTGGGGTAAAAAAAACTATAAATACTCCTAATTTTAAACATTTTTCCATATTTCTTCTACAACTCTTCCTAAATTCTACTCTTAACTCTCTACTATGTATGATAGAGTATATATAGAGAGAAGTGAGAGCTAGAGAGAGAAGTGCAATAATATGCTTCAATAGAATGATTTGTAACCCCTATAACTACTCCCAAGGGGAGTATTTATAGAGAAAATACGGGCTGGGCTCCCAAGCCTTGGGCTCGGGAGGCCCATTTACAACTGGACCGCTACTGGGCTGAATACAAAGCCACTAATGGGCTGTACAAATGAGTAAGTGCAAAATCCGGTTCTGGGAGGTCTTCGTGGCCGACGAGGGCGTGGCCGACGAGGGCACGGCCGACGAGGGCACCCGGGTTCCTTGGGTTTAGGACCATAATCTGAGTTGGCCCCTTTTCGGCCGACGGGGGCGTCTTGGCCGACGAGGGCGCCACTCTGTGTCTTGTGCTTTCTATTCTTCCGAGTATGTGGGTCCGGGGGCTCAGACCCATATACTCCATCAATGTAATTATCTGCATCTTCTCAAATTCTCTTATTCTCCAATATATTATATTTATATATCTACTTTATATTAATTATCTACTTATAATTTATAAATACATACATTATATTACTTATATTTCTTATCTAATTATATATTACTTATACATTTATTATATCTATTAATATAGTTGGAATTATATCTAATTAATTTGAAGTCATTCTATTACTCCCATCCGAAAGACCGAAAGTCCGAAAGAGGTACGAAATCATTCTATTATTTACACTTGTTTAATTTTGTATTAACATTACTTGAAAAAAAAATAGTTAATTCTCATTATAGTTAAAGTTAAACTATAATAATTTGATTGTTAGTAAAAAAAATAGGTAGTACAAAAAACTAGTTGATTAGTTATTTAGTTTTCACACGAATTGTTTAATTTTTCATTAAAGTAGTTAATTACTTTATTACAATTTTTTATTAATTGCTACCTTTGACTCTAGTTTAAAAAACTAGTTAATTCTCATTATAGTTAAACCGAAAGAGCTTAAAACTAGTTAATTCTCATTATAGTTAAAACTACTTTAATTTGTTATTAATTACATTTTTTAGATGGATCGTCCTAGATATTCGGTTGATATGGGTAACCTCGAGCGCAACCGAATGAAAGAGCTTGCGAGGAAGAGATCCCGCAAAGGTAAATCAAATATCGACTCTTCATCTCAAAGTCGAGATGATTTTTATACGGGTTACGCAAGGAGGGATGGGGATGCGGTGACCGACGAACAACTAGAACAAGAATTGCACCGACATAATAGCCGCTTTTTTCAATACCAACCGAGGACCATTGACGAAGAAGAGCTCGAGGACGACGATGTGGAGGAAGTAATTCCGGAGAGCCACGACGACGAGGAGGAGGAGGGTGGCGGCAGCCACGACGCCGACGAACCTGCCTCATCCCAAACCTATATGAAATAATATGATAACTATATTATAAACTCGGCTGAGATCGACACCTATGAAAAAATTTGTAATGCTTTGATATATTTTAATAATGCAACTGAAACTTTTAGTCATGTTTATAAACCTACCTCAAACCAATTTATTCGTGAAGCTGTTAATCTCGCCGGTGCTTTTTCAAATTTTGAGAATGCTGATTATGTGAGTTATTTTGCTAGTTTTGTGAAGGAAACGTTTTTAAAATATTATTCACATATTCCGCATATTTATGGTATTGCATTTGTTCTCGATCCTTGTTTTAGACTTGGTTCTTTAGAAGAATGTTTGAATTATTATTATGCTGCTTTTTTTTGTCCAACGCCAATGTATGAGGACAACCCAATTGATCCGAAAAAAGAATACAACGAGGTTAGTGATATATTTTATGCATTATTTAATAAGTTTCATGCACAATATGGCAACGTGCCCCCTCCCCCGACACAAACATCTTCATCTAAAGGAAAATTAATTTTGAAATCTACATTTGCCAATCTTATTAAAAAAACGAAATCCACTCCTGCTACTCAACAAAGCACAACTAATGAGATTTCTTTGTATTTAACATATGATGTTGATTTTGAAGAAGATGATGATTTTGACGTTCTAAACAGGTGGAAGGGAAAAGAATGAATGTTCCCGGTTTTAGCAAAGATGGCTAAGCAAGTGCTATCAATACCGGTTTCAACAGTTGCCGTGGAACAAGAATTTAGTTCAACCGACAATGTCCTAACGCAATGTAGAACAAGGTTGAGCGCAGAATCTCTTGAGATGCTTATATGCTACCACAATTGATTGAAGGCGGCCCGTAGAGCTCAAGAAATTGACATCACCCCATCCCAACACTTTATGAATGAATCTACAACCGAGGGTGGCTCTACCTATGTCGGAGATTCCGATTGATTATTATTTCATGTTTTAATTTTACCTTCAATTCTCAATTGTAACTTGTAAACTTGTAGTTCATATTTAAAATAAATATACGTTAATTTTTTTATATGTAGCACTTCTCAAATTAATTAATATTACATTATGTAATTTATTTAAAAATTCAAAGTAAAATAAACAAATAAAATTTGAAATCAAAGGACAAAGGCTCCTCAAGGCCCCAATTTCCCCCCAAACGGCTATATAGCCGTTGGGTGGGAGAATCAAGGGTGACCCGAGGGTGGGGGTGGAGGTGGGGTACAAAAAATTCTATAAATACTCTTGTTTTCTAACATTTTTATACACATCTTCTCCAACATCCAATCTCTAATCTCCATTCTCCATCTTCATCTCCATCTATTGTATAATTATTATATCTACCATTTTTAAGATGGAAAGTCAAAATGCCGTTATACGGTATAATTTTGATAAGCAGAAGGACCCGAGGACCGGGATGTGGTACACAACTTGCAAATGGTACGGGAAAAAGTGTAGCACGGGAGTTTCACGCGGATACGGGATGGCAATGAAGCATATTAAGTCATGTGACAAAGCCAAAGGACCGGGAGATGCGGGAAGTTCCGATTGATTACAAAATGTATTTCATATTGTATTTTTTCTTAATTGTCAAATGTAGTTCCTATTTCATTTCAAATAAATGCACTTGAAGTTTGTTTTTAATACTTGTATAAAAACTATAAAGTATAAATTATAAAAAAATTGATTTAACCGGCCTGGCCCGGCCCAACGGGTGGCCCAACCCGTGACCTGGGCTGGTGGCCCGGCCCGAACCGGAACCGTCCAGACCTCGGGCCAGTCCCGGGCCCATGAATTACTAACCGGCGGCCTGGCCCGAGTCCATGCCTAGATGTACGTAATATCTAATTTTTAATGAAATAATATCTAATACTCCGTACGTAGTATAAGATCAAAATAGGAATAGCTGAGTAAAAATGTGTCATAGTCATTTTTATAGACTACAATCATGCTAAAATTTTAAAACTGAATGAATATGACAACTATGCATATAGTCATTTAATCACATTTTAGACATATTTTGGGAATAAAATTATTTTCAATACAACTATGTGTAACATTTTAGGACATAACTTTCCCGTGCATCGCACGGGTAGTATACTACGAGTATTATATATTAAGATTTGATAGTGATCGCTCATTTAATGCAATAGTAAATAAGTTGTAGCTGTAGGGCAAAGAAAAACTTTAACCCATAGTATTGCTGCCCATTACAACTCAAACTCAACGCAAGCAGTGAAAAAACAAACCTTCTAGACAGTCTAGACTTCACACCACTCTCTCCTACTATCAACATGTATCTAATATCATGCACTAACAGCTTCATGATGTATGCTTATAGGTTGTATATGTTATTATAATGAAGCTAAGAGCCCTAAAAAATGAAATAATAAGAATTTAGAATCTACAACAAAGAAGACCCTGCCTCCAACCCCTCTGCTTTCCATATCTCCTTTCTGCTTTTGACATTCGTACTGGACTGCTATTCCACTCTGATTGCAATCTGAATCAGCATTTTTCAGAAAAATGGTCAAGAATGAATGCTATCATGAGACATCATTGAATACAGATAGGCAACAAAGTCATGCATTGTTGTAAAAAGATAATTTCTCACTTTTGGCCTCCCATGGCTATTAAGTTATTCAAATTACTCTTCCCCAACTTTCATGTCTTTTCACTTTTGAAACACAACTACTAATTTCTTGCCACTTTGGGTCCTTTGCGGTCATGGCAGTGAAAACCAACCAGAAATTGTACGAAAGTTGACCCGATTAGTGATTAGCAGGACCAATAGTGAGAACAGATTCACAATTGTGCATCAAAACCACAAAGTGGGGATGACCTAAATAATGTCCAGCAATAATCTGCCACCTCATGGGTGCCTATCATTTTTTACAACACCGCTATGATTTCCTACTGGAAAATTGATTTTGTAAAAATAACATCTATTGGACCAGAACCAGAGGGAAAAAAATAGAAAATTAAAATCTTACACTGGGAAAGCAAAGGATCTTGTGCTGGTTGTGCTGCTATCTGAACGAATCGATATGCTCCCAGGGTGTGGGGCCAATCCTGAATATGTAATCAAACCCGATATAGGACCAACTGAAGAGAAACTAGTTTCCCCATCTGCAAAACCATCTTGGCCACCCATTAATAGATTAGCGGGGGCTTTATCCTCACTAGTCTGCATCTCTAGCAACAACTCAGGTTCTGCAGCATGATCACAAGAACTCTCATCCTTTCCAGGGATTATTACCTCTTCAGGAGACTGCACATTGAATGTGAACGGACTTAATTGTTTTCTAGATGCAAAGCCAGTAGAGGACTTGTAGTACAATAATGGTATTCACCTATTTTAAAGAATGGTGATGTTTGGTAACACTTGTTTCTGTTTTTGTTCTTAAGACATTAAAGAGGACTTTAAAAACATTGGAAGAAAATTTCTGTAGTACATTGTTTTCAGAATCATGTTTTTTTATTTCTCTACAAACATATAATATCATAATAAATTTTATATAAATCATAAGGAGTATATCCAAAACAGATTTGCAAACACATTTACCTGTTTAGACATTCAAAAACAGTAAAACACAAATAAGAACAATATTATTGAATACATAAAATTTACACATGGTAAAATCAAAAGCATGAAACATTACCAAATGAACCCTGACCAATGGGGACAGCAGAAAAGAATATTCATGTGTCAATTGTCATAGAGCAGAAAAAACAAATAACCAAACCTGACAATCATCCGATACTTCTTCAGATGTAGAGCATCTTGATTCAAAGGGCTTCACCAAATCATCTTCTACATAAGTACCCTTAGATTCTTTGACATTATCCTCCAGAGATGATGATATGGGACAATCAGATACAACTGATTTTAAATCATCAATCTTCATATCCAGCATGTCTTTTGCCTCTTCAGAAAGTGCTTCCTTTTGAGCATCCTCTCCAAAGATGCCATTTGTGTCAGTGTTCAAGTTTTCAATCAACTTTTTTCCCACAAGAGGTATCCCCACGTCTATACAAATATCTTTGATAGCATTATCATTGCTCTCTCCATCTTCCTTGCAAAGATTTAAGTGTAACATCAGATCCTGATCATCCTTTACTGGTGAAAGTCCATCTTCACTCTTATTGTCTTTGGTGCCATTATAAGAATCAAGAACAGGTTTTTCTTCAAAGACAAAAGGGTCCGCATCCTCTTTACTATCATTGAAATGAAATAGAATTCCACTATTGTCCTTTGTGTTTGGTTTTTCTTCTGTTGTGTGATGGGCATAGTCATTGCATTCAAATGGTTTAAAATCATGCATAGGGACTTTGGCTAGATTACATACTGCAGATTCACTGTCAGCATGTCCAGCTGAGTTCTCAAAGCATGGCTACAAAATTTTGACAAACAAAATATATCACTAAACTAAGAAGAGAATATGTTAATAATGAGAAGTTGAAACAAGTACGACACCACAATCTGTCATTTACATATTTGTTGAGTAAACTAGCATATGAAGGGGCATTGCTAGGCCCTAAGGGTCAGTTTCGATGAAAGGTTTTGGAAGGGAGGCTTATGGAGGTCCAAGTCTATATCTTGATTTATATTTGTGATTATATAAAATTGAAGGAATAACATAACATGTGATAAAGTAACACCTTACTGATAACTCACTCTTGATTTATTTTAAGATAACACCTTATTTATATAAAATGTAGGGTAAGCCCTCCCAAGCCTCCCTCACACACCATCCAAAACACTCCAACCAAACAGACCCTAAATGAAGGAAATGAAAGGAAGGTTTTTTTAAGGAAATAGTGCCACACCATTATAATTTTACACAGTGTGTGTGTGTGTGTGTGTCAGTGTGTGTGTCTAATGATGCTACGTACATAGTTCCCTTTATCCAAAAGGTAATTCTTGTAGTTCCTTAATTCTCTTAATATAAAACAGTCATTTATTTATTAACATGAAGTTATTTTTCAAAAGAGGCTTTTCCTTAATTCTATTACTTCTCTTAAATTACTATTCCGTATATCTTAAAAGGCCCATAAAGTAGATGCACCTATCTATAAACCAGTGTTACAATACAATGAAATGTATGAGTTTACATTATTACCATGTTTCCGCACGCACATCGGCTGGAAGAGTTTTTTTAGCCTGAACATAAATGATTTGAAACAAAATTCAAAGAAAGTTCACCGGTGACCGCCTGAGAAGAAAGAAAATCAAAATCTTCAAATAGCAACCAGCAGAATTAATAGAAGACATAAAACAGTATGCAAAAGTGAAAGTAAAGAACAACAGATTTAAGGCATAATATCAAGGACATTAAATTCAGATATGATCCTTTATAGAAGCAAATACGAAGTATGTCAAGAAGGGGTTGTCCCCACAGCTAAAAAAGAACAAAAAATAAAAATAAATAAAAACCTTAACCTCCTTTGGCACAACTATGAAGGAAAGAAGATACCCATCAGCAGTTAAGATGAAATATTTCTTTCCTGCTTAACCCATCTAATCCCACTAAGATTCTGCTAAAGTGCTAAACCCCGATAATCCCTGATTACGAACTAAGTAGAAATGTAGAATAATTATCACAGCAAACGTAAAAGGCAAGCACAAGGATAATGTCAATAAGCTTTGATTTGTGCCATGATTTTTTTCCCCATTTTCCCTTTGCAATATTGAATTATTAATTGTTCCTTTCTTCACACCCTACCCCAGTAAAGACACTCTCCAATTATCATTGATACTTTACTAGTACTACTTTTGACTTGTAAGGTTAAAGAAATGAACTTTTGATTGTATGCCATCATTCTTTTTCCATTCCTAACGTTTTATGAGGCATAGACACTTGCCCCAGGGTTTGGACACCACCATGTGGATTCTTAACTTTGAGCACTTTTTGCAAAACCTACTCAATCACCATTCCAGATCTAACTTCTGATTAGAGCAGAATATTAAAACAAATTAAAAAGGAAACAAAAAGAGTAGAGAAGAAACAGAACATTACAAAAACAAAGAACAGTCTTCCCACATGATGCATTCTGACAAATTTTTATGATCCCCACAAAATCCCCGACCCTTTAAGCCATGAAGAAAAAGGGTGTTCAACTAATTCTAAATACATAATTCGGTGAATGATAAACCCAGTTGTAAAATAATACAGGGTCAGCGCTAAAATCATATAATAATCGATTAAACAGATTAAAATACCCAACAATACTATAAAAAGAAAATCACAAAGCATATTCAACAAAGATCTAAAACCTCACTTTAAAAGACAGTAATACACACATGAGTATGTTGAAGAGAAGGAAAAAGGGTACCTGAAGTTATGCCAATGGAGATAGAGGTGGAGGAAATGTGATATATCTTCTGGCGTAGGGAGATTTAATTTCGATTTTAAATTTTTGCGAGGGCAGGCACCTGAAATTCTGCTAGAATTTTGTGTGGGTGCTTATAGTGTGGAGCATTTATGTACGTGGGTTTTGATAGAAAGGACGCAATAATAATGACAATATTAGTTGTTTAGTCCTTCCTAGCCACCCATTATAGAGTCAACTCTCTCTCACCATATACAGATTACATACATATTCACCAAAAAAGAAAACTTGTAATATGACAAGAATTATATACTCCGTATAAAAAAATCTAAATAAGAATAATAACAGTGTAATATTTCATAATTTGAGTATTGTGTTTTGACTTTATAAGTATCCGTAATCAGGGTAAAGCGGTCTTCCCTCTCGTAGGGTTTTGAGAACTTTCCGCCGAAGGAGTGCGGCTTCGCAGCGGCGAGATGACTTCGCCCACATCGCTATGGTACCCAAGTAAGCAATCGAGAATCCAGGGGAGTGATAGAACCAGGCCACAGCCCGTGAAGGGGATCATCGGCGAGGAGGGGGAACCCTCGGTGGCGAGGGGGGAGGATGCGATGGATTTCGGCGAGAAGAGTGTGGAGAGGTTGGCTAATCAGTACGAGGGGTTGGGATTGGAGAACACGGAGAACGAACTGCTACTGGACGATGAGGAGAGCGATGAAGGCGAACACGAAGCGGCGAGCAAGGAGTCAGAGGTTTTTCCGGTGGTCGGCACAATTCTCACAGACAAAGTGGTGAAGTTTCAATTTTTTCGTGATCTGATGGCGTCTCTCTGGCACCCTGGAAAAGGTGTGATGATTCAGGAAATTGGCCTCTGGCGCCCTAGAAAAGGTGTGCTGATTCAGGAAATTGGTGAGAAAAGGTATCTTTTCACTTTTTACCACAAAATTGATATGAATCGTGTATTGGATAATGAACTCTGGCTGTTTGACCACACTTGTTAGTACTAAAAGCTATTAAGCACGGTGATATGCCTCAAAAAATCCCGCTAGATACGGCTGATTTTTGGGTTCATGTTCATAATATACCTTATGGCTTTTCAAATTTGGGATATGCTCGTAAAATCGGGAACTATATGGGGAAATTTATATCTTGAGATGACAAGCAATTTGATGATAAATGGGAAGCATATATGAGGATTAGGGTTATTCTCGAAATTTTGTCCGTCTCTGTATGACAAGGGTGATTTAGTGGCTGTGAAACATTTTGGCCCGTGGCTAAGGGCGGGGGTGGGAAGAGCTCGTCCGCCTATAGGCAATAAATGGCTTGTAGGAGAGAAAGGAACAGGGAGAGACTATACAGGGCTGCAAACAAAGGCCACGATAACCAGGGCAGGCAGAACCGTATATGGATCCAGGATCAGGAGGTTGGGGAAGAATCAAAGAGCGAGATGGGAGGTTCGGGTGAGCAGAAGAGGAGACGGACATGGGAAGCACAGGAACATGAGCTGGATCAAACAGGAGAGGATGTTATGGTCCTGGAGGGATAAAAAAATAGGGAGGAGGCGGGATGGAGTACCCAGACCTGCCAAAACCAGTGAAGCTTGGGTTCATGCGGATTTTTACAGTTGCTGCTACTTTTAGATCTGCTTTTATTTTTATTGTTTTGTGCGATGAACACCGAGTCTTTCTATTCGTTTTTACTTTTAATTTTGTCAACTCTATTGAACCTAGGACAGGTGATGAGGAACTTAGTTTGCTAGTCATTGGCTCATGTAAGCCCAATTTAGGATCAGCGATTCTGGTTGCTTCATTTGAGGTGGCAGATTCAGAGTCTGGTTCAAGGGTAGACGACAGACTATGGGTTCTTTGTCTGATTGTACCCTACTTACGTTCTCTCTTATTAATATAAGTCACCTGCTTCCAAAAAAAGTATCCGTTATCAATGTCATTCTTAGAAAATACTGTCACCTCTAACAATATTACCATATACGAAATATATGAATTTCCACACGTCAAAATGTAACAGTAAAATGTTGATTCCTAGTATGTTGGGATGATATATATAGTTATTACTTATTAATGTTTTGAAATTATACATTGTTTTTGTTGCCATCATTTATTTAAATTAAACATATAAGATGTACGGTAACCATGAACCATCATTTGAGACAACTTGAAGTTCGTTTGGTAATACCGAAATCGGCTAAATCGATTGATTCTACTGAAATTTATGAAATTCTAACTGGAGTGATTGAATTAGGTGATTCTGCTAATATATGAAAAAATTATATTTAAATCATATTTTATTAATAAAATAATAAAAAAATATATGAAAAAAATGCTAAAAGGGTCATTTACATTAATTCCAGGCAATAGAGCCAGAAAAATAACATATACCTTACTTTTTCTTATTAATAAATAATTTAATGCGTAAAATCAAAGATTATGTATTTGGTGAAATCAAAGATTACGTATTTGGAGCTTTTTTGAAAGGAAAAAACTTTTATTAATCTAATGACCTGAAACATTTGTTTTTTGAAAGATGACTTAAAACATAATGGCTTAAGAAGTTAAGATTGAGACATTCTCATATCTTGACATAAGAATGGTCGTTCTAAGTTCAAACGAGAGGAAAAAAACAAAGAGTTTTGCTAGAATTACTCCAAAATGTACTCATTTTCATCCCACCTCTTGATGTGTGGCCATAAATGGGTCAATTCATTTAAGTGGTGCTCACTTAAATGAAATGTCCTATTTATGACCACACATTAGGACTTGAGGGTAAAATGGGGTAAGACTTCGCAAATTGTATACATAAAAGGAGTTTCAAATCTGCTTGTATTTTCTCATAACATACTCAATATGTTAGTATGTATAAATGATTGAGAACAACATGAACATAATATTACCACCAAGCATTAGAAGTACAAAACCCAAACAAGATAAACACATTGCAATCGCGTTTACTCTCCACCACAAAACGACCAAATTAGGTTACTGGATAGCAGATAGCTTATTATTGAACATTGTTTTCGAAGTACTATGAACACACCACTCATCTAACTTCAATTTATCTAGGGGAATCCTGCTCACTTACTGGCTCCCCATCAACACCAGAACCGGCAATTTCCTAGAACTGGACCGGGATTGGTAATACCGGTTCAATCAGGGTCATCTAGAGAAATTATGAGACCCTAGACAGTCAAATAGACAATTCATTTCAATATGTCTTATTGAACATAAATATATAAAAAATGAGTATCGATTAAATAGATGTATATTACATACAAAAATGTAATGTTTACTATTAATGTAAAAGAATATTTCTTCAAACCCAAATACTAAAAATACATGAATATTTTAATGTACGCCTCTACTGCTCGATCTGTGCTAGAGTGTTTGAGTCTGCCGGACTGTTGCCGTCGGCCAAGTGCTAATTGAGAATAAATGCAGAAGGAGCTGTACGGGAAGACTTAAAAGAATATTTGAAGCTTTCACAATAATTGTCGTCTGATCCATCAAGATTACCCGTCGATTGGTGTTTTCACGGCCATTGGTTTGGGAATTGAATTTAATCACATTTTACATTATGGATTCATATATAATATTAATGGGCATGTTTTAAATTTTGGAGGCCCCTAAAATTTGGAGGCCCTAGACAAGTGTCTAGGGAAAATGCCCCCATGGCCGGTGTCACGACTCTCCTGAACGCCGCGGCATTGAGTGACACTGGCCATAGGTTCAATTAGGACACCGGCCCTGGGGGAGCGGCTCGCGGGGACCGGTGTTAGACTGCCTTTTGTGCAATCAAGACCACCCGGTCCGGTCCTAATTTGGTCTATTTTTTAGGAATTTCAAGCTCTCGAAGCATTTTAAAATGATGTGAATCGATTTAGTGAGGGGGTCAAGAGGGTCCCTGGCGGAACTAGAGGGGCCAACCTAGACCCCGGTCCACTCGAAATTTAAAAAACGACTTAATTATTATTGTAAAATTATTGTTGATGGAGTATATGGCCCAGGGACCCCCGACCCATAGACTCCTACTGCTCTAACCAAGGCCCAATAGGCCCAGGAAGCACAACAGGCCCAAATCACATCGCCCCAACTACCAAGCAGCCAACAAAGCACACTGGGGGTGCCTTCGGCCCCTTGGCCGAAGGCTCCAGATACTCACAGAAAGACTATTTTCAGCATACAAAGTTACTGGGAGAAAACGGCGAAAAATAGTAGCCCTCGGCACCTGGAGCCCTCGGCCTTAAGGGGCCTTCGACAGGAAGAGCCCTCGGCTAATCATCTACAGCCGAGGGTACCTTCCTCGACAAGAATATCCTCTCCACATGCGCCTGGGTCGCCGTACCAAGTACAACGTCACATCCAACCGCCGCATTAAATGCTGCCACATGCGAATGCCAGTGACACCCGGTTGATGTGACCCCTCGGCCGTTGGATGCTTGACACGTGTCCCCGTCTCGCATTTATTGCTACTATAAATAGCATCCCATTTCCCCTTTGTAAACCAGATTCGGAGTACGCTTTGAACTCATATATTCAATACACTTTCTCTCTCTTACTTGCTCTGACTTCTCTCTAGTTACTCTCCGCAGTAACCCCTCGGATAGATACCCCCCGGGTAGACTATCCATCATTTGGTGCTCTCGTTGAGAGGTCGAACAATCAAGTGAGAAACCCTCCCTCTCGGAGAAACACAAAACACCTATAAAAAATGGTGAGAACAATTCGTGCCAACTCCAAGAACGTTGAGGACAGGAACCTGGCCCTCGGCGAAGTCGACGTCCCTGAGGCCTCTAACAGGGCTCCCGAGGGCGGCGTCATCGCCGGGTTGGATCAGACGGCTGTCGACCTACGCCTTCAGATTCAACAAAATGCCCACGATGCCCGCCTCGGCATCGAGGCCAAAAAGAAGGACCAGAGCGAAAACCAAGTTAGCCCTCTGGTCATCACTATCGACGTATAGTCGGCGTTTTCCGCCTTCATCCAAACACTCACCCAGAACCCGGGTGCCTTCGGCACTTTGGTTCCCCTTCAACCTCAGGTCGGGAAAAACATCATGTCTCCCCCTCATCCACACCCCCTCGGGAATCCTTGTAACACCCCGGCCCCGTAGGCCCCGAGGTAGTTACTTCTGACCTCTAGTACTGTCCTCACAAACCGCCACTAGCCTTTTCCGCGCACTTTGTCCTCACTCG